TCTTTTTTCTGCTTAGGCTGATTGTGTGTGTGTGTGTGTGTGTGTGTGTGTGTGTGTGTGTGTGTGTGTGTGTGTGTGTGTGTGTCTAAAGCATGTCCTTCTCGGTCTGACAATTCATATTGATGTATTGTTATTAGAGGACGTTATACCTTAGTTAGTATTGACAGAGCCAAACTGATTGGCTCTAATTAAAGTTCTCTATAATTCAATCACTGAGAAGTAAACAAAGTCGTTTAGAGTGGTTTGAAAAGGATGATTCTTTCAGGTCCAGCTTTAGATGCAATGCCAACTAATCACCATGTTCATCATCATCAACACACACACACACACACACACACACACACACACATACCAGCCATAACATTAAAACCATCTCCTACACTTACTGTCCATTTTATCAGCTACACTGACCATATTGGAGCACTTTGTAGTTCTATTACAGACTGTAGTCCATCTGTTTCTCTGCATACTTTGTTACCACCTTTTACCCTGTTCTTCAGTGGTCAGGACCCCACAGGACCACCACAGAGCAGGTACTATTTGTGTTGTGAATCATTCTCATCACTGCAGTAACACTGACGTGGTGGTGGTGTGTTAGTGTGCTGGTCTGAGTGGATCAGACACAGCTGTGCTGCTGGAGTTTTTAAACACTTCAGTGTCACTGCTGGACTGAGAATAGCCCACCAACCAAAAATATCCAGCCAACATCGTCCTGTGGGCAGCGTCCTGTGACCACTGATGAAGGACTAGAGCATGACCAACACAAACTGTGCAGCAGTAGATGAGCTATCATCTCAGACTTTACATCTAGAAGGGCGACCAACAAGGTAGGAGTGTCTACTAGAGTGGACAGTGGATGGACACTGTGTCAGCAACTGCTGTGTCTGAACATACCACTGATCCACCACCCAAACAATACCTGCTCTGCGGTGGTCCTAGGGGTAAAAGGGGGCTAACAAAGTATGCAGAGAAACAGATGGACTACAGTCTGTAATTGTAGAACTACATACTGCACCTATATGGTAAGAGATGGTTTTAGACATATACATATATATACATATATGTGTATATATATATATATATATATATATATATATATATATGTAAATTCACACATCCACAGGTTGGGAGTGGGATGACTGTATAAGGTAATCAAGGGTTTAGGTCACTCATTCCTGACCAGTGTGTTACGTGGGGGTTGGCGGCTCTGCTCAAGTTCAAAAGTTCACAGTTTACGAGCCCTTTAGGACCAGTGACCCCTGTCCAAATAAAAACTTTCCTGTTGTTGACTCCTCTCCGGCCAAAAGCATCTGTCGTTCCTCACACACAAACCCTCCTCCACTTATCCGCAAAAGCAGAACGTTAAAGCAAAACCCTCTGAAAAAAGGAAGAACATCATTTGTAGAAGCTACCAAAACACAGGGCACGACGACAGGCTTCAAAACAGCGAGGCGTGCAAGAATGAATGGAGAAAGCCGTTGTAGATATTCAGCCTCAGTAAACGAAACAGACCAGGAGTACATCTTAAACACACGTTTAAACCAATAAACCACGCTTGGCTCAATGTTAGGACGCTGACAGACATCACAGAATAAACATTACTCATACCGTTGGCTGCTGTCCCATAATTTCTCTCAGAGAAGTCAACTCCGCTCGCTTTGTCCACCATGTCTCTCGCCTCACTCCACGCAAAGTCGCGCGCTCGATAAATTACAACTCATGCCCCGAAAAGAGTCTCAAAGCCGCGCGCTCACTGCAGCGTCGCACGAGCCTCAACTTCTGAAACGTCAGAGCGCTGCAACCCACGCGCGTGAAGACTCCTCAGAAATGAACCATGGTGGCATCTCGCCCTCTCAACGCCCCCTCAGCCAATCACAGCAGCCAGAGGGTGACGTAACCAGAGTGCCTTCTGGGAGATGTAGGAGAAAGCCCGTAGTACTACCTGTGGACAAATTAAAAGGGGAAATCACACAACCTGCATTTAACCGTTAGGATGTAAACAGAGTCATTCAGAGCGGTTTGGGGTGAAATGCTCTTTTCTAGAGAAACATACAGAGTCAGAAAGGTTCTGCTGGGGATAGGAACCAAACGTCTGAAGAGTTTAACGCCTGTAAAAGCTCCCTCACAGAAAGTTGGTAGACAAAATATTTACAAACAAGCTGCCTAAGACAGTTTTGATAAAACGTTTTTGGCCTAAAACATTAAAAGGCAAAGTAGTACCCAACTCAGATGTACAACTATTTTACCATTATCTATTATCGACATATATACAACCCCATTTCCAAAAAAGCTGGGATGCTCGGCAAAATGTAAATAAAAACAAAATGCAATGACGTGCGAATCATTTAAACTCTATATTTACTGACAATAGTACAAAGACAACAAATCAAATGTTGAAACCAAGAAATTTTATTGTTTTTTGAAAAATATATGCCCATTTTGAATTTGATGCCAAACAACACGATTCAAAAAAGTTGGTACGGGGGCATGGTTACCACTGTGTTTCATCATCTCTTCTTTAACAACACTCTAAGTGTTTGGGAACTGAGGAGACCAATTGCTGTAGTTTTGAAAGTGATACGTTCTCCCATTCTTGTTTGATATAGGATTTCAGCTGCTCAACAGTTCAGGGGCTCAATTGTCGTAATTTTCATTTCATAATGCGCCAAACCTTTTCAGTGGTGACAGATCTGGACTGCAGGCAGGCCAGTTTAGCACACGGACTCTTTTAATACAAAGCAATGCTGTTGTAATACATGTAGAATATGGTTTTATATTGTCTTGCTGAAATAATCAAGACCTTCCCTGAAAAAGACGTTGTCTGGATGGCAGAATAACATGTATATATCGTTCAGCATTAATGTTGCCTTCACAGATGTGCACGTCATCCATACTATGTGCAGTTATGCAACCCTATAGCGTCATGAATACTGGCTTTTGAACTGTGCACTGATAACAAGCTGAGTGGTCTTTATCCTGGAGGACACAGTGTCCATAATTGCCAAAAAGAATTTCAAATATTGATTCGTCAGACCACAGGACACTTTTCCACTTCACCCTCAGTCCATTTTAAATGAGCTCGGGCCCAGAGAAGGTGGCGGCATTTCTGGGTCCTGTTTATATATGGTTTCTTCTTTGCATTATAGAGTTTAATGTGCATTTGTGGATGAAGTGATGGACTGTTTTCACAGCTTTTCAGAAGTTTTTCTGAGCCCATGCAGTGATTTCCACTACAGAATCATGTCTGATTGTGCTGCCTGAGGGCCCAAAGATCACAGCCAGCAAATACTGTTTTTGGTCTTGTCCCTTACATACAGAGATTTCTCTGGATTCTTTGAATCTTTTAATGATATTGTGTACTGTAGATGATGAAAAGCTCTTTGCTGTTTTATGTTGAGAAACATTATTCTTGAATTGTTGCACTATTTGATTGTGCAGTATTTCACAGAGTGGTGAACCCCTCCTTATTCTTACTTCTGAAAGACTCCGCCTCTCTGAGATGCTCTTTTTATACCCAGTCATTTTACTGACCTGTTGCCAATCAACCACCAGGTGTTTTTTTAAGCACTGCACAACTTTACCAGCCTTTTGTTGCCCCCAACCCAACTTCTTTGGAATGCATTGTTGGCATCATATTCAAAATGGGCATATTTTTTTCAAAAAACAATAAAATGATTTGCTTAAAATGATGTGTTTAAATGATTTGCATGTCATTGCATTTTGTTTTTATTTACATTTTTGATTTCAAATTGTTTTCAAATTATGTCAAAAAATGAAAAACGACAAAAATGGAGAAACAAGGTTTTCTTCTGACAACAGCGAATATATATGTGTGTATATATAAAATATATACATACACAAGACACGTTTAAGTTGTTTAGGATAGCAAATGAAATAAATATATTTGTGTAGACCAGGGGCCCAATTCTGGTCATCTACCACCCTGGACAGTTCAGGTGCAACACACCTGGCTCAATTACGCAGATGCCACCGAAGGCCTTTATTACATGGATCAGGTATGACAGACTTAGGTTGGACCTAAACTCTACAGGGAGATAGATCTCCATGCCCAGGACTGGGCACCCCTGGAGCAGACATCGTGACCCCTGGTTCCAATCACCACCACGAAGAAAATGTAAAAGAATTGGCACCAAACTGCCAGCAGATGGCAGCATTCCATTGAGGCAATGGCAGAATATTGACACTGTTAAAGAGACACTCGAGCCAAAAACGTAAAGTGTACTCATTGCTACATTAGCTGTAAACATGCCTTTCCACCTCCTACAGCCGTGCCACAATAGTCTCAAGAGTGAGATCATCCAGACTAAAGACTAGAAAAACTCTCTTCTAATGATGTATGTAGACGGTGGGAGAAACATTTTAAAAACTATAAGCTCTTTGGGCAGAGACTTGAAAACAGGCTCTCTGAAATGTTTTTTTTAAGCTGGCTGAGACAAGAGGAATCTAGATAGCTAGCATTTTTGCTAGGAAACCAAATATCTGACTGTAAAGTAAACTGTAAAGTAAACCAAACTGCCAGCGTTTGACTGCACTCCATTTAAGTATATTACACTGCAGCCTTTTTACCATGTGATATACAGTGAGCCGTAATAATACATTTAAACAGGTTTGGTCTTAGATATTATTCCATAAGATTAGCCGAGTCTATCATGTGATCAACTTTTGTGAATAATCTGCCAGAACCCAGAAGAACGTCACTGCAGGGCTGTTTGTCATATTATTTAAAGGTTTCTTATGTAATTTATTTGCTTAAAGCCACATGCTGTTTATTTCTCCTACGTTCGGTTCTCAAAGAGCGGTGGACTCTTGTGCCGATGGAACAGCATGGCTGTGTAACTGACATAATCATACGCAATAAATTCAAATTCGGAGCAGACCCTGACCACAGCAGGCTCTTTGTATTGCTTCACACCAAACGGGTTACAGTCGTCAGGTCACCTCACACGCTCCCTCATAAGGCAGAGGTGTGTATCCCAACGATGCAGGCCTCCAGCCCCTGGCACATGGGTCGAGTGGCCCCCAGCGTGGTAATGAGCTTCTGCTGCCTGGTGGGCATCCCTGGCAATGTGGCGGTGATAGCAGTCCTAAGGCGGCGGATGAATACTCAGAGAGAGAGTTTCACCCTGACCCTCATTCTCAATCTGGCCGTGTGGGATTTGCTGTCCCTGCTCCTGCTGCCCTTTTGGATCTTCAACCTCCAGAGAGACTGGATTTTGGGATCTGTGCCCTGCAAACTGCTTTTCTTCCTGCTGTACTGGTGCATGAACACCAGCGTGCTGACCGTGACTTTGCTGAGTGTGCAGCGCTACATGCAGGTCAGTGATGTAGTACAGGAGGGGTGTCCAATCTTATCCAGCTGGTGTGGCTGTGGGTTTTCCTTCCAACAAAACGGGATCATACGTGAGAAACTGTTTGAAGACTGAGACCAACTGATGAAATAAGTGGAATCATGTGAGCTCCTGACTGTTTGGAATGAAAATCTACAGCCACACCAGCCCTTTGTGGATAAGAGTGGACACAACTATATTACAAGTTGAAGTACTGTAACTAGCTGTGTGTATATCCACAGGTATAAATTATCCATTGCCACATGTTCTACACAGTTGAGGTGCATTTGAAAGGTCCTTTGCTGGCTCACGCTGCCATAGAGGCTCTGTGGGCGTGGCCATGCAGAGGCCCATGCGAAGAGGCTCATAGGAGGCGCGTATTCCCCATAAAAAAGGTTTTTTTTTACATTGTTGTTCTTTGGTTGTGTGCGAGTGTTATTCTTGTTATTTGTGTTATTCTATGTTGGGATGGGGGTTTAGCTGTGTGTTAACCATGAAGTGGGAGCATATGGCTGATGGTGACCTCCCCCACCATTTACTTTATGGGCTTTTGCATCTGGTGTTTAGTAAAAGAACAGAATGAGTTTTTCTCCCGTATCTCCTTCTACACCAATGCCACAATAAACTAAATTTTCCAAGTGTCCTGCAATGGAAACTGCATTAAACAGGCAGCAAATCGTAGGTACAAGTTCAACGTTATTCAAGTTTACAAGCTGTGACAAATCACCAGCCAGTATGTTTTCTGATCAGTGGTAGACAGTAACGAAATAAATGTAATTTTTTCGTCAGGACCCCCATGGACCCTCACAGAGCAGGTACTATTTGGGTGGTGGATCGTTCTCAGCACTGCAGTAACACTGACGTGGTGGTGGTGTGTTAGTGTGTGTTGTGCTGGTACGAGTGGATCAGACACAGCAGTGCTGCTGGAGTTTTTAAAAACTGTGTCCACTCACTGTCCACTCTATTAGACACTCCAACCTTGTCAGTCCACCTTGTAGATGTAAAGTCAGAGACGATAGCTCATCTGCTGCTGCACAGTTTGTATTGGTCATCCTCTAGTCCTTCATCAGTGGTCACAGGACGCTGCCCACAGGATGCTGTTGACTGGGTATTTTTGGTTGGTGGACTATTCTCAGTCCAGCAGTGACACTGAGGTGTTTAAAAACTCCAACAGCACTGCTGTGTCTGATCCACTCAGACCAGCACAACACACACTAACACACCACCCCCACGTCAGTGTTACCGCAGTGCTGAGAATGATCCACCGCCCAAATAGTACCTGTTCTGTGAGGGTCCATGGGGGTCCTGACCACTGAAGAACAGGGTAAAAGAGGGCTAACAAAGTATGCAGAGAAACAGATGGACTACAGTCTGTAACTGTAGAACTACAATTGCACCTATATAGTAAGTGTAGCTGATAAAATGGACAATGAGCGTAGAATAATCTTAAAATATCGTCGATAAATCTAATATTTCTCCTGTTGAGATTGTTGTAGATAATCTTATAAAAAGTGCACAACCATCTCAAAATGGGAAATATTAGAACAACTAGTTTTAAGATCATTTCACTTGACAAGATACCATTTTTCGCAGAGCAGTGGAACACTGGAAAAACGTGAGATACAATGCACACATGACATTACTGTCCATAGTGACAGGCTTCACACCTATGTTGCAAACAGTGGTAGTAACAGCTATATTGCGTACACTATATGGTCAAAAGTATGTGGACACCCCTCCTAATTATTACGTCCAGGTGTTTCAGCCACACCTGTTGCTAATAGGAGTATAAACCCAGGCAAAGCCATAAACTCTCCATAGACAAACACTGGAAGTACAATGGGTCGCACTGAAGAGCTCATTGGCTTTAAATGTGGCACTGTCACAGAATGCGGAGCCTCACAAATCCAAAATCACAACCCCCCCGCAATCCAGCTCACTGTGAAACCCCTCATGAGCATCTGAAAGGAATACATGAAACTGTGCAGGCTATGGGTCCTTAGAACCTCTTACTTAGGACTATACCTCTTCTGCAGGTGCTGTACCCTCAGCGCTGGGCCAGGCTTGGGCTAGCAGGCCATAAAGGCCTGCTGCTGACCATTTGGGCTCTGGGCAGCTGCATCGCCTCCCCTTCTCTTTCCCTGAGACGAGTCAGTGGCGGAAATTCAGCACGATGTGAAGTAGACTATCGCAGCCCATCAGTGGAAGCTGCTGTTCTTCTGGGGCAGAGCATTCTGGGATTTGTGGTTCCATTCTCCATTCTGGTATCACTGTATGTCTGCTTACAGAGGCGAGTGGGGCAAGCCTCTCAGTGGAGCTCCACTGGGAGGATGACCAAGCTGATCACCAGCATCGTGGTATCCTTCTTTATCTTCTGGACCCCACTGCATGTGTTCAACATGCTGACGCTGATTGGCTTAGTGGTGGAGTCGCAGGAACTGAGGGATGTTTGTGAAGCCAGCTGGGATTTGCTGATCGCGCTCACTTTCCTAAACGCCTGCCTCAACCCTTTCCTGTATGCGTTCAGCCACAGCCGGATACAGACACCCACTGCAAGGGTCACCAACCTGCAGCAACCAGAACAAACACCACAATGAAAACAATACAACACACAGAACTACATACTGCTATAGAGTGTGATGGATACAGAGGACCAAAGAACTGACCTCAGGAAAACACTGAATAGCATTGGATATATTTGAAAACTTTTAATGTTGTTTATATTTACTTTAGATACAGTAGACTTTGATTTATGACTATAATAGATAATATATAATGCTATAATATTACACTTTATATACATATTGTCGCTTTAATATTCAAACCATGTAAGATTCTGCAATAAACAAACCGATAGAAATGATCCAAAGTGACTTAGATTTATCTTAATCTACAATAGACATTAAAGGGGAATTCCACTGATATTGCTAAATTTCTACATGATTCAATCTTCAAGATGTAAACAAAGTCATTCAGAGTGTTTTCAAGTAAAATGCTCCGTTCTAGAGAAGAAATGTTCACAGTGTTGGTGATAGGAACCAGACGTCTGAATATTTTACAGAGTAAATTGTTACACAAAATGTTATGAATACACTGCCTGATTTCTAAGAATATGTTTTGAGATAAAAACTGTTATAAATGTCTTTCAGTTATTACTGTTTTCGTGTAAAAACACACACAGGGAAATGGGGGATAGGCCATTTATGAATACTGTTGTGTGTTGGGGTTGTTTTATATGTGTATTTAGTGCCTTTTTTTCTCAATATGAGAAAAAAAACAAGGTTTTGCTCTAAAACATACTTTTTTATCCAATCAAGGTGGAAGGGTACATGTAGGGTGCTGTATGATAAAATAGTCCCCAAAGAAAACCTTTTTTTTTTTCAGATTTATGACAATTTTACCACCATCAACATTACATGTAAAAACTCAGAAGACATGTAGGTTCACTGGTGGTTTTGGATAGAAAATAAAATGGCTGTATTTGCATTGTGGATGTTGTGACCCCTGGTTCCCATCATCACCACTGTTAGGAAATCTGAGTCTGTAAGTTTCTCTACAACAAACCATTTCACATCAAACCCCCCTGAATGACTCTGTTTACATCTCAAAGACTGAATTATGCAGAATGTTTGAAAAATAAGCCATTCTACATCAGTGCTATTGTTAAAATGTCTCAAAAACCAGCGTGATTTAAAGAGACACCTGAGCAGGACACTAGACATATGTGTGGGTTGTAATGTATGCAAATGAAAAAAGTCATTGTTAGCTTTATGTATTCACTTTAAACAGATGTTTACAGTGCTGTATCTGTCAAATCCTGATTATAAAATTGGTGCCAAGCCCACAACACTATTCCACAATTTTACTTTTTAGAGCTGTTGCATGTTATGTTTTATTATTGTCGTTTAATTTAGTACATTTTTTATCTCATTGTTTATGTTTTCTTTCTCTATCTTTAATTACAATTCAGTATATCTGGCTGTGAAGTTGAAGGAATGAGTTGGAAGATTAATTTTCCCCTGTTTAGATCACTTTTTCTCTTCTATAGAAAACTTTATTGGTTATTTATGCATAACCCTTTATGGGGGGTATACAGTCTTTCCATGTAGACGATGTACCCCCACATAAAGGTACTATTACACCAACTATGTGTTTGAAAGATATTTGTACTGGTCCTCACACATTTGCATGCATTTATCTTATAGAAATTTATGTTTGAATGTCCAGAATCATGGAACATTGAATATTTCTCTTATTTTTCAAATAGAAGAGTTTGACATAGCAAGTAAACATGTGAGTGCATTTACATGAATTTAATAATCCAATAACTGCAGAAAATCTGATTTTGTCAGTAATCTGATCAATGCATTTACATTCACGTAAATAATCAGATAATGGGGAAACAATTATCAGATATCAGATATCAGATATAACTTTTTTTTTTAAACATTTTGTCGCTTTACCTGAAAATATGAACATTTATTAAATCCTTCATTTCGTCAAGCATGTATTTGGTTTCAGCGTCGCTCCAGAAGTGTTTTGCTGTGTCTTGCAGCAGTGCTGCTCACTTATTTCTGGTACAACAGTCTGTTCTCACACATGCGCAGACTGAGAAATCCGAAAGAAATCAGAGTAAGAGTTCACCTGCACCAAGAATCTGATTGCTGAGCTAAAATCCAGCTCTCTTTATCAGATTTCTTAATTGGATTGCTTAACCTTACTCCAATCTAAGACATCGAAGTATGCTGTTTACATGATCGATTGAATAATCAGATAACTTCAGAAATCCGATTATGATCAGATTATTGAGTGCATGTAAACGCACTCATTATTAAAGTCTCAAGACTGTGCTGTTCACTCTGCAGTTCATACAGTCCAAAGATGGAGACGGAGCTGCAAAAACAGCCCACACCGATTTTGATTTTGTGACGTCACAAAATCCAAGGTATTCACACAAATCCATCAATTCGGCCTACTGCAGTTTAGCTCCGCCCATTCACTGAAGATATAAGAAGTGTTTTAGCAGAGCTGCTTTTTTTTAATGAGGCACAAAACAGGTAAGCAAATTAGAACAGAGATCATTTACATATATAAAAAGGTTGCAAAATGCTGTAAAAAATGTTTGGTTGTGACTGTTTTCATGTAAAAAAACACAGGAAAATGTGTAAAGGCCCTTTAAGAATACTGTTGTGATTTGGGGTTGTTTTATATGTGTATTTATTGCTTTGTGGGGACCAAATATTCTCAATATGAGAAAAAACCTTAATATTTTGAGGTTGGTGGACATTTAGCTGCTCCCCATGAGCTACAGAGAGAGACGAGCGTTTTGTGGGATAGGAATGAAATGTTTGCTAATGTTTCTGTGTTCCTCAAAGCCTCTGCTGATACAGATTCTGAGAAAACTCACACGTTTATCATGACTCAGCTCCCGTGCTGAGCTAGCGTGTGGAAGTATGTGGAGCGAGTTTCGCTTCCTTCAGAAAGTCCAAGCTCCGCCCACTCTCACACTTTAAATGATGGGCTGTGACTCAGATCACATGTCAGACCGTCGTGTGTACGGTTTAATCTTCCCACGTCTTCAGCGCCTTTACTGTCCCAGACTGCCGAAATGCTCTGCCTGGGCGCCATACTCTTCGCCTGCACTCTCCCACTGTGCAGCCCTCGTCCTCTGGGTCTTCTTCCCGACGAGCAGCAGAACGACAGACCCGTAATCGGTACGTATCTCTTCGGTCTCTTCGGTCGGCGATCTTTTGTTTCCCACCAGTATTCAGACAAGCCCCGCCTCCTGCGCGCATTGGGATTGGCTATTGGTCCACACACTGAAACCGGAGACTGTTTTCATTTCATTTAAATACTAATAAAACTGATTTTTTTTTATTATAGTCTGCTTATTTTGTGTTTATTTACATTTTTGCTTCCATAAAAAGACATTTTTATTTTATTTATTTATGTATTGTTATTTTATTTATTTTATTTTTTTTATTTGCTCGCATTTTTGCATGAATGTTTATAATATATTTTTATTTATAATTAATTATTGTGCATAAGATTAAGTTTTACATTTTATAATTATTTTTGCTCAGTATCACTGGAGTCAGACCTCCCTGTGGCCATGTATTTAGCCCTTTCTAAGACATATTTTTTTGAGTTTGAGTAATTAAACTGTATTTTTTATGCAACACTGTTACCTTGTTATTATATTCCCCTGGTTAACGTGATGTTCCACAGTCTAAAGTACTGTATCAGATGAAAATTGATCAAAAAAAGTAATTAGCTTTTCGCTGGGCCGAGGATGATGCTACGTTCGTTGACGTAAGGACATTTTGACTGGTTGATTGGCTGGACTGCTGTTAAGTATGAACTCCGAGCCAATCCCAGCGCAGGAGGCGGAGCCTATTGGAATACGGGTGGAAAAATATGACGCTGCTACGTTTTTCCAAACTGCGAGAAAACGGTTATTTAATAACGCAAAATGCGTTAAATTCTCCTGGCGCATCTTCATCCTCACATTAAGAGCAGAGTTAGTTGGAGTAGACTAATCCCAGGAAAGATGGGAACAGTTATCACGGGAAAAGCGCAATTCTGTCTTTATAGTTTAAAATCATGCTGAACGCTAAAGCTGAAGGTAACGTGAGTAATGTTAAAGGGGAACTCCACCAATTTTTCAAAATGTCTGCGATATTAAATGGTTAAGATGTACACAGAGTCATTCAGAGTGGTTTGGTGTGAAATGCTCTGTTCTAGAGAAACGTACAGAGTGAGAATAGTTCACAGTGATAGTGATAGGAACCAGACGTCCACCTCTAAAAGCTCCCTCACAGAAAGTTCTTACACAAAATGGTTATGAATACAGTGTGTGATGCCTGAGACATTGGTTTAGGATAGTTTTGAGATAAACCTTTGGCCCAAAACGTCTTGTTCATTTATTTTAATTCGTTCCTGGTGAAGGGGTACATACAGGGTGTTGGAAGGAAAAATAGTCCTCAAAGAAAAGTAATTTTTTTCAGATTTTACCCATTTTATCATAAGATTGCATATAGAGACTCAAAAGACGTGTAGGTTTACTGGTGCTTTTGGATAGTAAATAAAATGTCTGTATTTGTGTTGTAGACATGGTGACCCCTGGTTCCCATCACCACCATTGTAAAGAAATCAGAGTCTGTAACTTTCTCTACAATGAACCACTCTATGTAAAGCCACCATGAAAGACTTTGTTTACATCACACCAACAGAATTATGCAAAAAAAAAAACAAAAAACTGGAATTTGCCTTTAACATTAGTCCAGATGAAGAACCAACAGAGCAAAACAGTAGAAGTAAAAGTATTGTTATTTCAAAATACACAAAAAGTTCAAATCCTTCAAGAAAACGGACTTAAGTGTGTGGAGCTGAGTAAATGAGTTAATATAGTGCTTATCTGCTTAAAACATGGTGGTCTGTTTCTGTCAGAGCATAGAGCTTCAAGCCTTCAGTGACAGCGAATGCTTTTGTAGGTATTTTGACTCAGGAGGTCACAGACCCTGAAATGAAGCCATATGGAGGAACCTACATCCCTTCATCTTACGTAAAGTACGTTGAGTCAGGCGGCGGCCGGGTGATTCCGATTCGGTAAGTTTGCTCATGCTTCCGCTCATATTGTAGTTCAGGGAATTCCTGCAGAGCTTGAATTTCTCTGTTCAACAAAACACCTGATCAGTCTCACCAGGTAAAGAACAGGTTTAGTGTATTAATATGGACGTCTAGAGAGGCCATGAGCTGTTGCTTTAATTTTTTGGATTGTTATCTTAAGATCACAAGATATTTAACGTGATTTAAAGATAACAATTTTGTTATCTTGAGATCACAAGGTAATTAACTTGGTATTGCAAGATAGCAACTTTGTTATCCTGAGATCACATGATAACTCAGCTGTTATCTTGAGATAACAAGATAATTAACTCATTGTTTTAATAGAGCAACTTTGTGATCTTGAGATCACATGATAATTATCTTGTTTTCTCAAGATAACAGCTGTTGTTATCTTGAGATAACAAGACAACTCATTTTAATATAGCAACTTTGTTATCTTGAGATTACAACATATTTAACTTGTGATTTCAAGATAACAACTTTGTTATTTTGAGATCACAAGATAATTAACTTGCTAATAACACTGAGAAGTGAGAATTAATGATAGAGGTAAGTATGATGGGGTGGAATATTTCAGGCTAGACTGGCTGCCACTCTCTCTTGGTCAGGGTTAGACCTTGTAACCTCAGTTTGTCAGCACTTATTTCTGTCACGTTTCTGTGAATATAGCAAAGAATTTAAAGTACAGCCGTCTGTTTTGTGTGATGGGCTGGACATGCTGTGCTTGATGGATCCTGTCAGGAATTATAGATGGTGAATGAATGCAAAACTTTTGAATTTGAGTCTTGTGAAAGCTTAAGAAAATACTTGCAATACGTCTTTTAAAGCAGTTTGTTAATTATACACTTTATATTAATATATTTATGCTTGAAAAACACATATTTGCAGTCTTTTCTCTCTGACTCTGTGTTTTTTCCTGATCTGACACATCCCCTTAAACTAAGTAAGGCTTGTTAATTAGCTGATTAGTACTCCAGGATTGTGGAAGTCACCAATCTGGTATCTCTCTGAGCTAGAGTGCCCCTGTTTGGTGCACATTTATGAAATACAGTTTGTTTAGACTGAAAAGAAATGGCTTAAAACACCAACCAACATTTGAATCATGCTTTTTTTTTTATTTCCAGGCTGAATCAGACCAGAGAAGAGCATGAAAAAATCTTCAAGTCAATCAATGGGTAGGTTTGCGTTTTTTTCCTAAACAATTTGAAGTGTACAAAGCTTAAAATAACAAAAATAAGACCTTCAGCAAAAGAAGATCCTCTAATAGGCCTACAAGTCACAAGATATGCTGGTAAACCCTAAAGAAGATGTTGATGGTGGGAATGTTGAAATATGTTGGTTAAGCTCACGCTCTTCCCTGAAGTAAGGAAATTCCGTTCACACTTCAACCATGATTGGTCAACTTAATTTGGGTTGTCCTTCATAATCTAACATCTTGTTGTGGAATCCAGGGTTTTACAACTTCGCTCTGCACGTTGTACTGATTTAAGATTCTGAGTTTAACCTCAAAACACTCTTCCTGAAAAGAATCCGGGACTTCGTCACTTACCATATAAGCACGTTTTGTAGTTCTACAATTACAGACTGTAGTTTATCTGTTTCTCTGCATACTTTGTTTGCCCCCTTTCACCCTGTTCTTCAATTGTCAGGACCCTCACAGAGCAGGTACTATTTGGCTGGTGGATCATTTTTAGCACTGCAGTGACACTGACATGGTGGTGGTGTGTTAGTGTGTGTTGCGCTGGTACGAGGTTTTTAACACTCACTGTTCACTCTATTAGACACTCCTACCTTGTCAGTCCACCTTGTAGATGTAAAGTCAGAGACGATAGCTCATTTGTTGTTGCACAGTTTGTGTTGGTCATCCTCTAGTCCTTCATCAGTGGTCACAGGACGCTGGATATTTTTGGACTATTCTCAGTCCAGCAGTGACACTGAGGTGTTTAAAAACTCCAGCAGCACTGCTGTGTCTGATCCACTCAGACCAGCGCAACACACACTAACACACCACCGCATCAGTGTTACTGCAGTGCGGAGAATGATCCACCACCCTAATAATGCCTGCTCTGTGGTGGTCCTGTGGGGTCCTGATTATTGATAATGTGGTAAAGATGACATTTTTTTTTCTTAATTTGCAAAAACTGGCCTTTACATTATGTGAAAATTTCATATTGAATAGATTAGATGCGATTATTCTCACATACATATATATATATAATTTACATACATATATACATAATATATGCATATATACATAATTTGTCTTCCTCAGTTTTGAAATAAGAGTTTGATGTTGTGTAAAAACGTAATTTTAACATAATAACACATTCACATATTGAGTGTTATAATCCAACACTGAATATGTGGATAGGTATGTATAATATGTTTGAATCTTGAATTAATATTATCATCAGTATTATATTCATATCATGAATAGCCACACTAATAAGATTCTCAGCAAGTTCTAATGACCACCGTTTCTGCCTCTCTGATAGGCTTCTTCTGATTGGAGGAGCCTCAGACTTGGAAACCTCAGAATTTGCCCACACTGCTGAGATTTACTTCAGACTAGCGGTTAAGGTAAATAAACAGTGCGTTTGTTTATTGGGGATCTGAGAGAGTGCAGAGATTATTAAAGCTTCTTTCAAATGAGAAAACATACAGTAAACTTATTTAAGAACCCACAGCCTAACGTGAGAATCTGGAGCTGAGCTCGAGAATGTGTAGCCTTACTTAAGAACATGTAACCTTCATTAAAAATCTGTAGTCTTGCTTCAGAACCTGTAGCTACACTTATGAACCCATAGCCTTACTTTAGAACCCTTAGCCTTACTTCAGAACCCGTAGTCTTGCTTCAGAAGCTGTAGCTATACTTATGAACCCATAGCCTTATTTTGGAACCTGTGTCTTGCTTAAGACCTGTAGCCTTAGTTAAGAACCTGTAGCCTTACTTAAGAACCCATAGCCTTACTTCAGAACCCATAGCCTTGCTTCAGAACCTGTAGCTATACTTACGAACTTGTAGCCTTAGTCAAGAATCTGTAGCCTTACATAAGAACCTGTGCTTTGCATAAGAACATATAGCCTTACTTAAGGACCTGTAAGGAATTGTAGCCCTACTTAAAGGCCTACAGCCTTACGTAAGGACCTGTAGCCTTACTTAAGAACCTGAAGCGTTACTTAATGACATGCATTCTTACTTAAGAACCTGCAGCCTTACATACGGACCTGTAGCCTTACTTAAGAACCTGCAGCCTTACGTTAGGACCTGTAGCCTTACTTAAGAAAGTATAGCCTTACTTAAGAATCCTTAGCCTTACTTAAGAATCCTTAGCCTTATCTAAGAACCTGTAGCCTTATCTAAGAACCTGTAGCCTAACATAAGAACCTGTGTTTTACATAAGAACATATAGCCTTACTTAAGGACCTGTAAGGAATTGTAGCCTTACTTAAAGGCCTACAGTCTTACGTAAGGAACTGTAGCCTTACTTAAGAACCTGAAGCGTTACTTAATGACATGCATTCTTACTTAAGAACCTGCAGCCTTACATACGGACCTGTAGCCTTACTTAAGAACCTGAAGCCTTACTTAATGACATGCATTCTTACTTAAGAACCTGTTCCCCTAATTAAGAACCTGTTCTCTTACTTAAGAACGTGTAGCATTACTTAAAAGCCTGATGCCTGTAGCCCGTTAGTAATAGTTACAGAACTGTTTACTTCCTCCTTACGAGAATATTTAAAGTGGAATACCATTTTTTTTGCACACATCACTCATTGAGATATAAACTGAATTGATTTGAAATGATGCATTGTAGAGAAACCCATTGAGTCAGATTTACTACAAAGCAAAGATAGCCACTTTACTTACTATCCAAAACCACCAGTGGACGCACGTGTTTTCTGAGTTTTTTATATGTAATGTTTGCCCTGCATTAACCACTCTGCCATAAATGTTTTAGGTCAAATAATTTACAGGTGAATTTTATTAATTTACTTTCTCAGGCACTAACAGGTTATTCCAGTTCTGCTTCAGTGTTTTTCAGTTTAACGTTGTTCTGTTTTGCTGCTGTTTCAGGCCAATGATGTGGGCGACTACTTCCCCATATGGGGCACATGCATGGGCTTCCAGCTCCTCACTGTTCTGGTGGCTGAACAGAACCTGCTGAGCAAAACTGTTGCAGAGAATCTTTCGCTGCCCCTAAACCTCACCTCAGGTTTAGTATTAACCCCTTAAACTCTAAGCACCCGTCAGCAGGCCCACTTCCATTTTTCACTCATACTACATACCTTATGTATTAGTTTCACAGCAGTTACTGATTCACTAATGAACACTAAACCTCTTCAGGCTTAAAACCTAAACTTGAAATCAGGTATTACTTCATTTGAGATTTGGTCTAAACCCAAACTCTTGCTGTTAATGATTACTCCTCATTGTAGGTAAGACTTTGGCCTTAGTAGCTGCTCTCTTTTGGCCATAAAACCTTAAACCCCAGTGGCAGAGATCAAACTTCACCAGCTTTGAAGAGGAAGTCCACTGATTTCTGAATAATGTGACGGTTATGGTGTAAAGAGAGTCATTCAGAGTGGTTTGATGTGAAATTCTAGAAAACTAGAGTCCAAACAGCCCACCACAGACATCGCACTTTGGCCCCCCAAGACAAAACATTTGGGCACCACTGCTGTAAAAACTACCTCACAGACAGTTATTACATGAAATGTTTATGAATACACTGAAAGAGTCACTACTTTATGATAGTTTTGGGAAGATTTTGGTTTGAATTGTATTTTTTAAATATATTTATGGCAGAGACCAAGACCAAATCCCCAAAAACTTAACACTACTAATCCATCATTAACGTTACATGTAAAGTTTAGAAGACACATGTAGGTTCACAGGTGGTTTGGATAGTAAATAAAATGGCTGTATTTGTGTTGCAGACATTGTGACCCCTGGTTCCTATCAGCACCATTTACAGCTTTGGTTACATATCAGAAGTTAAATTATTCAGTAATTTTGCAAAATCAGTGGAATTCCTCTTTAGCACTTTTTTAGCATGTCATACTAGTGAATGATAAATTAATGAATAAACAAACAAACACGTCATGTCTAGAGTGCTTTTCTCATACCCAACCAGATTTTACAATATGGTAGATAGTGAGCTAGTAAATAGACGTTTTTAGTTGTATGCAAACCAGTTTAGGTTGTCAGCCATTCCAGATTTTTTGATGTTTTGTTGATAATAAAAACAGAAAATAAGTGAACACATCCTGTACAGAGAAAACACTACAATATGGCATTTTACAGCACAATTTCTGTTTATTCACCCAGTTTAACATATTTAAATAAAATAAACAAAAAATTTAAAACTTTTGCACAGTATAGTTTTTTTTATTATTTTCCAATATGTTATATTCAGCAAATAAACAGTAATGTTCTCTGTAGAAGACGTGTTCACTTTTTTCACTTAGAAAATGTAACAAATACGATAAAGTAGCTGTACTGTGAAACATTTGTGAACAGCCTAAAGTGTGAAGTCTTTGTGATTTGAAACAGAGGCCTCATCCAGCCGCATGTTTGAGGGATTTCCACCCGACCTGCTCAAAGCCCTGTCAGAGGAATCGCTGACTGGGAATTTCCACCATTATGGAGTGACAGAGCAGGTGTGCACGTGCACCATGAGACTGCAGTCCTATCATTTCAGTTGTCGTACAGTCCGAAACAAAATACGAACATTTGTTCTTTTCTGAATCTTTCAGGTTTTCAAGGGGAACAAAAAGCTAAGCAGCTTCTTTTCCATACTGTCCATAAATACAGCAAAGAATGGAGCCGTCTTTGTCTCAACCATGGAAGGTATTACGTCACGTCATTGCTTTAATCATCTGAGTTACATTTTTATGACTAATAATCACATGGTTATAGAGTGTACTATGCAAAGCATTTGCGATCACAGCTGCTGATCATGCAAAAGGAAATGTTTTCTCCAATTCTGATTGGTCTCCAGGCAGGAAGTACCCTTTCTATGGTGTTCAGTGGCATCCAGAAGTGAACCGTTTCCAGTGGAGTCCACTTTATAGCTTCCCGCATTCCAAAAACGCCGTCCGCTTGGCATCACTGCTGGCAGAATTTTTTGTGAATGAAGGTAAATGTGCTTTGGATTTTTTTGGTCTACACTAGATGTCCAAAAGTTTCAGACAGCCTTTCAAATGAGTGAGTTTGGCTATTTTAAGGTCACCCACTGCTGACACACAGTTTGTATAATCTCCATAGAAAAAGCATTGACTGATAGAATGAGGTACTCTGAAGTCAAAGGTGACCATGCCCAATGCCAAGCGTCAGCTAGAGGGGTATAAAGACCCCCAGCATTGAGCTATAGAGCAGCTGCTTTCTCTTTTGAGATGACCTGGAGTGTCCAGAACTGTTCATCCAGCATCGATACCTGATGTCACCAATGCTCTTGTAGCTGAATGCAGTCAAATCCTCACAGCAATGTTCCAACATCTGGTGTAAAGCTTTCCCAGGAAGAGGATAAGCTGTTACTTCAGCAAGCTCCCTACTGAAGGGGAATTACACAGATTTTTAAAAATTTGAACATGAACACCTGGCCGTAGAGCACTTTCACGAATAAATGTTCACACTCTCTGTGTTTGGATTATCCTTATTAATACCCTTGATTATAGAAACGATGTTGGATGAGCAGGTGTTTACAAACCTCTGGACATAAAGTGTAGCCTTTATATTGTACGCATGGAATTTTGCATCTGCAATCTAAAAAAAGCACAGAATAATAACTGCAGGCTGATTTTATTCACTCTGGCTATGACTCTCTCTCTCTCTTTTTCTCTCTTTCTGTAGGAAGGAAAAGTTTCCACCACTTCAGTCAGGTTGAGGAAGAGACCAGCGCGCTCATATACCACTATAACCCTCTTTATGTAGCAAACTTCACTGCTTACGAGCAGGTCTATTTCTTCTAAGTGACAGACACCTTCAGTTTCAGATTGGCCAAGAGCTAATCATCATCCTCAGGGCTTTACACGTTCACCGTTGTCTGTGTTAATGTGTGTGTGTATGTGTACATGTGCTTTGTTATCCTTTTGTTTATGTGAGTCTTAATAATCCAGTAGAAATTACCCTACATTTATTGCTCATTTTTTACTGTACAAAACAATGTATTTCCTTTCTGTAAAAATGTTTTTTTATATGAATTATATGCACATTCTGATAGTGTTATCTTCCTGACTTTACCAGAAGAGGGCAGTATTTTGCTGGAAAAGACGAAGCGAAGGGACTTTTGAATTGAGCGTCAGCCTCAGAATATGCAATAAGACTATATGGCAAAAAGTTTGGGTTATTAACTGCATGCATAGCAAGCACCACCAAAAATAGTGAAATTTGGATGGTATGTCTTCCAAAAGGGCTGCTTTTATAAAGATAATAATAACATCTCAGGCTCTCTCTCTAATAGTTAAAAGGGAATCCCACAGACTTTTTAAAACATCTGTATAATTAAGATGCAAACAAAGTCATTTGGAGTGTTTTGATGTGAAATGCTCCGTTCTGGAGAAACCTGCTGAGTCAGAATGGTTCACAGTGGTGATGATAGGAACCAGATGAGAGATTAATATCTCTAAAACAGGGTTGCCCAAAGTGTGGCAGCCAGGAAGTTACAGCAACACCCCTCATCCCAATGGGAGAACAGATTTTTTATATAAAATACGGCTTAATTTCATTTTAAAATGGTATTTTTAAGTGTTTTATTAACAGAATATAGTGTAAATGTTCTGTAGTCAACTTGAAACCTACCTACTTTCTATATCTTCTTGTTTTGGTCCACTGGCCCACCACAGACATCGCACTTTGGCCCCCCAAGACAAAACATTTGAGCTTCTCAAAAAGCTACACCACAGAAAGAAAGTTACATCACAAAATGGTTACAAATATGCCTCCTAAGGTCTGAGACACTGTTATACGGTAGTTTTGAGGTCAAGTTTTAGCTTAAAATATATTTTTAAAAAAATCTTTAAGGGCGGAGAAGTACATGCAAGGCATTCTGAGGCAAAATAGTCCTAAAAAAAAATCTTATTTTCTTTAGATTTATCACTATTTATCATCATCATCATTAGCATCATTACATATAAAACTCGTGTGGACATATTGGTCATTTTGTATAACAAAAAAAGGCTAAATTTGTGTTATAAACACCGCAACCCACCATCACTATAAAGAAATCTGAGTCAGTAAGTTTCCCTACAATGTACTCTTTCACATTAAAGCACTCTGAATGACTTTGTTTACATTTCAGTGATTGAATTATTCAGAAAAACAGTTTAAAGTCATGTTAATACTGCAGTGCCAAGTATCCAGGGTTGTGTTGTTCCAGTGGTGGAAGAAACTTCATGTGCTCTGGGTTTGTGTGCTGTTACAGTCCAGACAGAACAACATTGTTAGAATATCTTGCTCATGATCAATCTTCACTGATCTCATATGGGATCCACAGTTTCTGTCGGTGCGCCGGGTTTCTGTCTCAGACTTTGGGAGTAGTTACATTGACGTACACTGGGTATAATAAACCAAGATTCAGATGCTTTGTTTAAGTGTTACATAGGTTTAAATGCTCACCAATCTACAGCCTTATCCTCTTACAGAGGTGTGAGATTTAACTTAATTTGACTTTACAGCATTAAACTGTTCCAGTAAGAATATATTGTGGTAAAGACATTGTTACTGTAAATAGCCTATAGCAAGGCCTGTTACATTAACTTTGGCTGACAACTTCTAATATATTTGAATTTAACATGATCTTTAAGTATAATTTACATTAGTCATAAGATGGCAAGGACATAAAATTATGATATTTACTTTGTTTTTTATATTCACCACCAAAAATAGGTTTACCACAATAATTGTTAAGTTTTAGTCAAAAGTTTGTTTGGCCTTGAAAAAACATAAATAATCCATAACATAAATAAATGCAGATAAAAATTAATATAAATGCATTATCAACAACAGTATTTTAAAAGTGCTTTAACATTTGTACAATGTAGTTTCAAAAAGACGCCATTTTGTAATTCAGTACCATATATGCATTTGAAGATTGAAATCACAGCTTTGGGGCACGAGTAAAACTGTGATTTCATAACTTACGTTAGCACAATACATTGAGCAACCATTTTGTAAGCCAAACTGTGTTATGACTAATAAAATGACAACATACTTGACTCATATGCCCGTGATTAGGGCTCCGTCAAGTACAACCACAGCCCACTGTGCTCAGTATAACTGGAAAAAACTTAACATTTAAAAGTTTTATAAAGACTTGTTTATTTGGCCCAACTTTTCAGTCTTTGAATATGTATTCAGAAAGTTAGCAGTGTTTTCCCAGACCTGCTCTTGGAAACCGTATATATATATATATATATATGTTTGTTCCCTACTCTATAACACGTAATTAAACTTATCAGCTAATTAATAAACCCATCACGAGATTAAAAGTAGGGATTTTAGTGAAGATAAAACGATAAAAGTTGCTGGTGAACTGAACTTCTGAACTGAACACTGGCCTAATCCAACAACCCGCACACAGTAGCTACTTCTTGTTTGTGTCCTCATGCGTGAATCCGATTGGCGGAGCCGAGTGATGCTCGGCGACGCTCATTGGCCCACTCGCACGCTCATCATTAAAAGAGGGCGGGGTTTGTCGCTGATCTGATTCAGATCTCAATGGATGCCAGCGATGACTGAGTGCGCTCCATAGGCCTGCATTGAAAAGCTATGAAAGAGCTCGACTGTTTGTCCGAACACGAAACCGAGCGTCTGAATTAGAGGCTCTTATTTGGCTTTGGGCTTTTTTTTCCTTCAGCGGATGTTTTCTTAGATATGTCAGCCATAGCTGGATGCTGTGAGCCCAACTTCGAGTCCTTGGAGTCAGTCTGATAAAGGGTCTGGACTGTGATGACTTTTCCTTCCTCTTCTCCTTGTGTTGGGGTCTCGGTCATATCGTCCAGAATGGGTGCAGACTCCTCGCAGTGGTCCAGCTTGGTGGTCAGCGCGGTTGGAAGGCGAAGGGCATCGGCTCTCTGGATGTAAACAAAGCCTTCTTCTTTCTTTCTTTCTCTTCTTCCAGCAGGGAGAGCAAACGAGTGAATTGATGCTCCCGTTTCAGTGGTGTAACGGTAAGCTGAGCTGCATGAAGATCTCATAATAACATTCATCTCGCATCGCATTTTCAGCTTCTTTATGTTCTTAGCAGGGGGCTTTCAGATGAATCAGCCCCCACTTACCTGCAGTTTGACCTCACTGGTGGGCTTGGAGCTTTTTGTTTTGGTTCTGTTATCAGTTTTGTCACTGTTTCAGCTGTTCGAGTGGTCCATGGTGGTCCAGTAGGATCAGCTGTGGTCTTTGTCACTTTTCTAGTACTGCACCCTTAAAAAAGATGGTTCTTTAAGGGTTATTTAGTAAAGAAAATGGTTCTATGTAGAACCATGAACGCTCAAAGAACCCTTTGCATGATTAAAGGGTTCTTTGCATCATGAAAGGGTTCAGAGTGCTGTAGATGTTTCTTTATAGAACGTTTTTGAAAGGGGTTCTGCTACTGTTACGATGTCAAGCCTGTAACAAAAGAAGAACCCTTTTTGGTACTATATAGAACCCTTTTCAAAAAGGTTCTATATAGAACACTCCCCATCGATCTGAGGAATCATTTCACCATGCAAAGAACCATTCAATCATGCAAAGGGTTCTTTGAGTGTTTATGGTTCTATACAGAACCATTTTTTTTTATTAAAGAACCCTTGAAGAACCATCTTTTTTAAAAGTGTAGCTCACTCCTGCTCATGAGCACTTTGAATACTCTGTATCCCAAAGTGATCATCATGACTCAGATCAGATGGGTGTAGGGGTGGGCGATACGGCAAGAATATTATATCACAATACTTCAATACTGCGATACGCGATATGTATCACGATATTCACTATTTCTGAGATTTAAAATGAGAACCTGCAGTGCTACACAAAAGTACTATAATAATAATAATAATAATAATAATAATGACGATAATGATGATAATAATAATGATAATGATAATAATAATAATAAAGCTATAACTATAGTGACTTTTCAGTGCTTTTAAAAACTGCAGTGCACTAAATCCTATTAAACAGGCCCAATTAAGCTCACCTTGTAATGGAATGTAGTTGATCAGTGTTCTTTAAGTACTGACAATATCCACACATGCTCAGAGAAGCATATTGTGACATAATTTATCATGATAATGATAAAATATCATCATATTGCCCACCCCTCGATGGGTGATGGTATCTGAGATGTTAAAAGTGGCGACTGATTCATCAGTCTGCGAGTCACAGATTGTTTCAAGTTAAAAGCAATGCATAAAATACATGCACAATGTGTCCAGAAGTTTGTAGACGCCCATTCTAATTAGTGAATTCAGTTACTTTTAGGTCCGGCCATTGCTGGAACCGGCGTTCAGTTGTGCAAAAAAGTATTACCCATACAATGGGACACACTGGAGCAGCCACACATGAGCCTAAAGTCACTATGCCCAGTGGCAATCGTCGGCTAAAGGGGTATAAAGCCCCACCGCATTGGGCTGTGGAGCAACTGTGTACTCTGGAGTGATGGAGCTCCATTTAGTGAGTGATTTAAAGAGTGATCCAGAACTACTCATCCAACATCAGTACCTGACCTCAGTAATGCTCTTGTGGCTGAACACAATCAAATCCACACAGCAATGTTGCAATATCTTCTATCGAAAGCTTTCCAGAAGAGCAGAGGCTGTTGCTGCAGCAAAGGAGGACAAACTTCTTATTAATACCCTTGATTTCAGAAGAAACGCTGGATGATCAGGTGTCTACCAACTTTTGGACATAAATTGTATGTATGATTTCTCGCACAGACCCAACAAACTGCCGTACCCATGATTTCTTTACATTCATACTGTGACTCATGTCTGCAGGCTTCTTCTTCTATATTTATAGGTCATTCCATATTGCTATTGCAAGTACTGATGAGACGCTTTCTCTTGGGGTCTGAATATTTCATGTGTTGCGCTGAAAAAGAGCACAAATGCACATTTTCCTTCTTGCCCTGCTGTTTTAAGAACGGGAAAAGCTCTGAGATCTGGTGAACTGCATTCCAGCCCACTGACTCATTAGATCTAAAACAAAGTAGTCTTTAGAGTTCAGTATCTACACCATCTACATTTTCTAGATGGATTTGGTTCCAGTGTGTGAAGGGAGTTCTACAATGCACTTAGGCCCTTTTCACCTCTCAAAGTCCCACAGCAAGGAACTGGGCAGGCAGTAACTGTTGGAAATGACTTCACTTGATTTCTCCTACCATTTCTAAAACTAGCCCAAATCCAACTGTGTGGACCTGAGGTCTTACTGAGCATTTACTGTGATCGTCATCATCTCCCTGCCTCTCATTTCCTCCAGACATATTTAGCTCTCTAACGACTCCGAGGCCAAGTGACTCTAGGCACCGACGATGCTCTGCTTAGATATGAACGCTGTCCTAAGAACAGGAAGCACCCATCTTTTTCCCCACTGCACACTACGTTGTCTTGGCAACATGTCGGAGCGCCTGGTTATATAGGTCAGCAGGCCTGCAGAATGAGCCCCGTTCATGGGCGTGTACCACACACACGCTCAACATGAAAAAAACTACACTGTAGTCGTGACTGTTCACCAGCCCAGGAGAACCTACCTACAGCAGCAGTGATTCTGGATAAAACTGCTGGATAGTGAACCCTGTTCAACAGTGGCTATAAGGATTATAATGATGCAAGTGGCCAATCGCATGCATTGACTTTCAAATGTTAGATTAAAATAACAGTTATTAAATACAACAAACGACATTCTTCATTAATCTCAAGAACCCTTTAATCATGCAGAGGGTTCTTTGAGTGTTCATGGTTCTGTAGAGAACCTTTTTCTTTATTAAAGAATGAAATGTTTCGGTAGTGACGATATTAGCTCAAAAACTCAAAAACATCAGTACATGACTAGCAAACGCAGCTTTGAACAGCTGTTCACACATAAAATCACAATATTTTTCGTTAAAACACTGGTACTTTAAAATAAGACAACCTTTATAAGTGTTTGTTTATAAATGGTTTAAAAATAGTTCGTTTATGGTTATTAGTTAGGTCATAAACACTTCACTAATCATTCATAAGCAGTTATAACACATTAATAAAAAGAGCAAAATTGAGCTGGTATATCTGGTAAATATGAGTATTTGATGAAGTGTTTATGAATGATTTAAAATAGTTTGTTTATGGTTATTAGTTAGGTCATAAACACATCATTAATCACGCATAAGCATTTATAACACATTAATAAAAAGAGCTAAATTGAGCTGTTATGTCTGATGAATATGAATATTTGATGAAGCTGACAGGTTTAATGCTGACTGATGAAGAAGACAAAGTAAAATCTGAGGTTTAACTGTATGAATGAATGTGAGTTCACTACTAGGCAAACAGGTCACTGTCGCCCTTTTTATTTCTGTGTTGCAAATGCTTATTAATGATTTTAAGGTAATTAATAAATATTAGTAAATAACTATTAATAAACTCATTTTAAACCATTCAGGAACTCTTTGTAAGGGCAGTCTTATTTTAAAGTGGTTTCGGTATTGTTTCGGTAGTGAAAATGAATGATTCACATTGATTTTCAGACTTTGATACATTTTTTTTTCAAAACAATGGGATCTAACTACTCACCTTATGGCTGTGAGGGACATGGATGCAGTCTCACTTTAGAGTCACCTGCTCTAAAATACATTAAAAACAAAAAAAAACTTTTTTTTTTTAATTAAAAATTACTCCTGCTAAATTTAAATCTTTCAGTTTCACTTTAAAAGCAAATGTAAAAGATCTTTAATCACACAACATTAGAAAAAAATATAAGTATTATTTTCACAATTTAAAATTTAGAGGTTAGGGTCTGGGACAGATAGCTCCCTGTAGAAAGTACCCTACAAATTATGATTTTGTGTATATTTAGCTTATTACTATTAATGCCAGGGGTTTAAACGGATTATAACATAATCTCTGTAAATATCTAAGGTCTGAATACTTAGTTGTTTTTTAAAGGTGTGTTTTTTACTTTTTGGACAAAATAGGGCTTCATTATTTTTTGAAACACCTTTGGTGGATATTTTTTTTAAAATTAAGAAAATGTCATAATGGGAACATTAATGGCATTTAGAGTTGTGTCTGTTTATAGTTCCAGCTTTTTGGAAAGAAAAAAAAAACAATCGAGCCAAATCAGGACTTGCTGAAAACATCTGGAAAGACATATCTAATGCGTACTGCAGTTGGCACACTGTTATTTGAAAGCTTCTATTGTTGTAGAGCTCTGGCTCCCCGACGGAGGCCCACAACCTCAATTTTAGTACATTAGCCGTAGTGGACAAACACATGTGAAAGAATGGAGTGAGGCCAACATCACGCCAGTTTTTTCTCATATTGATTCTCTGAGCAGGGAGTCCAGTTAGTCCAGCCGTGGAAGCGACTCCCTCTGTGTGAAATTGATGTTAAGTGACAATAGTTTTGTTGTCCTGCTGGTGCAAGTGTCTTTAAAGTGCTGGAGAGGTGCAGAGAATGAAGACCAAATGAAATAAATAGGAATAAAAATGGCTGTTTATTGAATTTTCTCTGAACAGACCCACGTAAGGCGTGTTCCCAGCGTCTGTCACTGCTTGTGTGTGTCTGTAAACTGACTGTAAACACTGCTTAACCAGCGTTTCTGCTTTTGCATTCGTCCCTCTTTGCTGCAGTAACAGCCTCTACTCTTCTGGGAAGGCTTAAGGAGATGTTGGAACATTGCTGTGAGGGTTTGATTGCGGGCAGGTACTGATGTTGGATGATTAGTCTTGGATCATAAAAGCCACTCCAGCTCATGGTATCAAATGGAGCTTCATCACTCCAGTTCCACTGCTCCACAGTCAAAGCCCCTATTGACGCTTGACATTGGGCATAGTGACCTCAGGGTCTTGTGTGGCTGCTCCAGAGCATCCCCTTCTATTGGTCAGTGCTTTTTTATGAACACAGTACGAGCAGTATGTGCAAAATATAACTCCTGAGTCAGCAGTGGAAGCTCCCTAAAGCCAATGAATTCATTAGAGGCGATATTCTGATACTTT